TGCCTGGATCTGGCGAGTTAATTCAAGTGGCTGCAATCTGTGTTGTATAAATAATAAAAGCGCGAATAATAAACTGCACTCAGCCCATCGCTGGCATCACGCAGCCTGGTCCGCGCTGGACCCCCCTTCCCTCCCCGCTCAGTCCCCAGGGCCTGGGGGAGGGGAGCAGACATGTCCCGAGTCCCGAATCCCACCTCGCCCGCCGAGCGAAGGGGGGGCCGGGCCGAGCCGAGGACGCAGACGGAGTCTTTGTTCTCGCCGCCTGCGAGACAGCGGAGCCGCGATCCGCGACCGGCCCCCCTCGGCCAGCGCCCCCTGGCTGTGTTAGTGCGTGCTCGCCTTTGTGCTCGGTGTTGTGCCGTGCCTGGCGTCGGTCCACTCTGCTCCTGCCGCTTGGTGCTTTCCTGGCCCAGGCCTGCTCCCCTGTCCTCTCCCACCCCTGCAGGAGCAGGAAGCTGGGGGAGTGGAGGGTAAGCTCTCGTCTCATCGCCCCGTGTCCCAAATCCAGCGGCTCTGCATGTGAGAGAGGAGGGGGTCCACGCAGGGGGTAAGGATACTGTAGTCATCCCTTGACACCCCTAAATAAATCCCTTCCCTCTGAGGCCCAGCTGGGGGGATGTCGCAAACCCCACCGCCCCCCCCGTCCCTCAGGTCGAAACCCTCCCACATCCTAGTGCACAGCCCGGCTTTTCCTTGGAAATACAGGGATGAAAAATCATCACAGGGATCTGGGGATCTGTGATCAGGGGTCCTGGGCTCTTCAGCGACCAGATAGATCACCACAGGGATCTGTGATCGGGCGCCTGGGCTTTTCAGCGACCAGAGACTGGCTGGGCGGTAGATGCACAGGAGTTAAAATCTCGTATGGATCACGAGCACCAGCTTCGAGCAGCAAAGCAGACAAAACACAGACACCTGCAGTTCCTTTCCAAACACTGGCAGTTTATTCGGATTCTGGGACGGCAGTTTCTCAGGGAGGGGAGCAAAGTAAGATGGGGTGACCTGTACAGCACCCCACCAGGAGAGACGCTTTTAAACTGGTCTGATATAAAATTAACAAGTGAAAACATCGTAGCAAAAACAGGGCGAAACGCCCACAGCTGTTCGAATAAAAACACAGGGACAGCGACAGCAGAATTCATTGAAGAGCAGAGGGTCACCCCTCACCTGGGTCAGAGCTCAGGATTCCTCA